GTGTTTGTGTGTGTGTGTGTGTGTGTGTGTGTGTGTGTGTGTGTGTGTAGGGTGTCAGGTGGGGAGCTGTTTGATCGCATTTTAGATAAGGGGGTTTACACCGAGAAGGACGCTAGCATGGTGATAAAGCAGGTGCTGCAGGCTGTCAGCTATCTGCACGAAAACAGCATCGTACACAGGGACCTTAAGGTGATACACAAAGAATACATCTGTACGTTTACAGCATTTTCTCTCTTTCCCTTTCTTTAACTTCCTTTTGATCTTCTTTGTCCCTCTGTCTGTGGTCAGCCTGAGAACCTGCTGTACTATAACACAGACGAGAATGCGAAGATCATGGTGAGTGACTTTGGTCTGTCGAAGACATTGGAGCACGGCGTGATGTCCACAGCCTGTGGTACACCGGGATATGTTGGTGAGTGATGGGTGCGGGGCAGACACGTACACTTCTTTTGAAAGCCACCTTGTTATTTATACCTGATATACAATTGTACATTTAAATAATACTACTACAAATTATGTTTTAATCTGGCAATATAATACAAGTGGTATTATTCAAGTTATTTAGTGACACAAATAAAACAAACCAATTAGATAGAATAGATAGAATCGGAGGAACCCCTCTTTAATGGTCACACATGCAGAGCACACAGCACACACAGTGACATGTGTTCTCAGCTTTTAACCCATCCTAGTACCATGAGTCTAGTACTAGGAGCAGTGGGCAGCTATCGTACAGCGCCCAGGGAGCAATGGGAGTGAGGGGGAAGGGTGGTGTCCGATGCCTTGCTCAAGGGCATCGCGGCAGGGCCAAGGAGGTGAACTGGGAGTAGCAGTAGTACTCTCCAAGTAGCAGTCCACACTCCATATTTAGGTATGTTCAGGGACTTGAACCAGCGACCCTACGGCTCACAGTCCAAGCCCCTAGTGACTGAGCCACTGCCGGATATGTCTCTTCCTTTGACCCATCCCAGTGTTAGGAGCAGTGGGCTGCCATTATGTACGGCGCCCGGGGAGCAGTGTAGGGAACTGTGCCTTGCTCAGGGACACCTCGGTAGCACTTGGTCTTTCCCGGGACTTGAACTGGTGACCTTCCAGTTGCCAAGCCAAGACTTTGCTACCACCGCCCTTAATTAAATTAAGAGCTATCATTAAAGTTGCATCATATAGATTGCATGCTATTAAAATGTACAAGTGTAGACCGTACATCTGCTTCCTCAGCAAGGCAGTCTGAATCTCAGCATCTCTTACCAGTTCCTCCTGGAGGGTCCCAGCCCGAGGAGATACAGTATGCTTTGAGGTTCAAGGTTTTTTCTTTTGTCATACGAACATACTGTAGCTACAGTGTAGTTATGACGATGACAATCTTAGGTCACAGGCTCCGGCGAGATTTCATCCTAGGTTGTGACAAGGTCTGAACATCGCAGTCTGGAGCTATCGCCTCTGACATCGCAGCTCCTAGGTTTACTCACTCTGGACCATGATAAAGGTGGTGATTCTTGGAGGAGCAAACAGTCAAATCAGATTTCATAAACAAAATGTAGGGTTGAAGGGTGCATGTGCTTACAATTGTATACGTTGAAATGTTTGATACATGTTAAAATGTGTAAAATGCTTAATGTATTAGCAGTTATGAAGTACACATTGTTATTTGAAAAATAGAAGGAAAACAATACAATTAGAGATATCCATGGTAAAAGTATCTATTTTGAATGTCTTCTTGCTTTGTTGGCTGAATTACTTTTGTGGTTCTACAGCCCCTGAGGTTTTGGCCCAGAGACCCTACAGCAAAACAGTGGACTGCTGGTCCATTGGAGTTATCACCTACATCCTGTGAGCATATTTCTGTTCTCTATCAAAACATAACACGTTACATGGCTGTGTGGAAACAACCAATACAACATTTAGATAATAACCTAAAGGTCAGGAGCCTGAGATTATACAGTAAATTCATTGATTTATTTTGTTAAGAAATCATATTCTTCTCATAAGTTTGACACCACAGTCACAGTAAAATATTTTTGATGAGGACAATTAATTGGGATTAGCTGAGTTAGCTTGCTGTGTCTGAGTTGCAGGCTCTGCGGCTACCCTCCATTCTTTGAAGACAACGAGACGCGTCTGTTTTCAAAGATCATGAGGGCTGAGTACGCTTTTCATTCACCTTTCTGGGACGATATCTCCGAGTCAGGTATGAAAACAGCAGCAAATGTGAAAATCTCAGTCTTCACAAACAGCTTTGACATCTGATATCCCTGTCCTTTCTCTTCTGGTAATTGTACTGATTTGTATTCAATAGTGAAAAAAGCTCTAAAACAACAAACTGACTAACTGGTGAACCAGATAGTTCCCTAAATAATTGTGCATATTGGACATACATCATCAGTTGGCCAAATGAATGATAACGTTGCTCCATAACATCCTGATGTATAAATAAGCAACTGAAGCTAATAAGGACCATGACCTGAAATGTGGCTAACTTTTTCATGCTAACTTTGAGTTATGACCTGTGTTCATTCTCATCAAGTTAATGTTGTTCTTTAAAAGCAGTTTGAGGATTCCTTTGTCTATTATTGAATAACAATCTTCTGTTACATAATTGGCTCATTGCTGATCTGTGATTGCTGATTACATGATTTTGGTTTCTTGGTAGGTTACCAAGAAACCAAAGTGCATCACAGCATGCACTGGGGCAAAAGATTCATTGACATAAGTCTAATGATATGTCAATGAATCTATAAGCATGCATGCTTTTCTGTTTACACTCAAATATCTTGGTCATGATCCAGCTGACATTTAATAGGTCTCTTTTGAGTGTGGGCTCAATAACTTGTTGCTCTACAATAATTATAGTTATCCATCTAAGAAGAACAATGGAACTGGGCCACATGGCCCTGATGATAACACATGATAATATGTCCATGTTTTGTTCACAACTTGCTGGCTGCCCCCAAGTGAGCAAAATTAATCAGTTTTTATTCAAAACACTTTACTTGGACTTAATCTACTAAATCACTCGACTGCCAAGGCCCTGACACACCAAGCCGATTTCGCCCGTCGATAGATTTCTGGCCGTCGATGAGCGTCCTGTCGCCCTACTCAGATTGGTGTGTCCTGCACATGGATGTATAATAAGAACTGGATACTGCGTGGGAGGCGGGGCCTCGTTCATTCCTATGAGAGTTGCTCATTGGCGCATGAAGACAAAATGGCCCAACTTTTGAGAGGGCGAGACGTCACAAAAGTATTCATATAATCCGTTCTTATTGTGCATCCATGGGTAAAGGTAAAACTCACGTAGTACTGAACACGTCACATGAACGTGCCTGGCGGCGCGGTCCCGTGGGTTAGATGCGCGTTCATAATGCCGAAGAAAATAACTCTCAGAATAACGTTATTAGCACATTTTTGAGGACCNCATGACATTCTTCTGGACTTGTTTCATTGTGGTAATAGTGAGGGTAGTCAATCCCTTGTTTAGCAAGACAGTAGTGACGGCCATCTTGGTGACGTATAACATACGTCACCAAGATGGCCGTCACTACTGTCTTGCTAAACAAGGGATTGACTACCCTCACTATTACCACAATGAAACAAGTCCAGAAGAATGTCATGCAAAGCTGCCTGTCTTCCTTTGATTCTCTCTGAACTGCCTGGTCTTTTTAATATTTAATGTCAACCATTTGTGCAGATAGCATGAAGTAGAAAAAGATCGCCGATGCTAATGTAGCATTAGCGTTAGCATTTCTCCCCAGGGCTTAAATGGTGTATTATAGAATGATGATACCAGTGTGACTGTACTCTTCAAAGGGTTCACGAAATATGACCAATACTCTTACTGTTTAACATTTTGGGTTACTTAATGTTACTTCATGTTAAGGCTAATAAAAATGACAAGGCTAAGGCTGTAATGCTATGACCCATTGTGGTATGAAAACAACCTGGTACTAAGCACACAGGCATCTTGTTAAAGTTATCTTAGCTATCTCTTATATTTAGCAGAGGAAAACAATTGTGACATCACTTACGCAACTCTGTGATTTGTAGTCTTTCTAGTTGCGTATTTTTCATAGTCTTATATTTCAACAGTTTTATGACAAACTGACTTTTTTGACTTCGAAATTATTTTTTAAGATTTACAAACATATGTGTAATTCGTGGCACAATTCAAACGGGATCGAAAGTTAAGTTTTCTCTCTCCATTGACTTCAATACATAATTTTTCCGAAATAAGGTCCCATGGACCGGAAGTAGATGGGCGCCCATCTACTTCTGCTCAAAAGCTCAAATGCTTTTTCTCTTGCGGGTTATCACAATCAAGGTGAGTTCCTTTTTTTATTTCCGGCTTTTTAAAACATGTGCTCTACAGTACAGGTTAGCTCTGAGTGTTAGCAAGGCTTGCTAATGTAAATAAAGACGAGATTACGTCCAAAACACGTCTGGCATTGTTTTTGTTAGCAACTTTCTGTGGGTCCGCCGCCAATTTGACGTCATATCGGCAGCAAATCTGGATCAGCTCCGTTGTACCCCCGTTTTTAAAAGGTTTGGGTACGGAGGAAAAGAGAGAGGGTTTTATTTTCTGACGCTGAGTTCCCCGATGCACCGGGGCGGGGACACATATTTATGTATAAAAGACATCAAAAAGTGCATTTTGCATGATAGGTCCCCTTTAATATATAACTGCAAAGTTAAGGAAATACAGGATTAAAGGTGTATTGTGAAATAACATATCATCATCAATTATTAAAAGTTATTTCAATGTTTGTACGATCATGAATTACTATTATGGAACATATTGAAATGATTGAAAATATATATTTTTTCTTTAATAAGCCTACAATAGTGACCGGCAGTGGCTCAGTCAGTAGGACTTGGACTGTGAGCCGTAGGGTCGTCGGTTCAAGTCCCCGACCAGACCTAAATATGTAGTGTGGACTTCTACTTGGAGAGGTCCCAGTTCACCTCCTGCCCTGCCGTGGTCCCCTTGAGCAAGGCACCGGACAACCCCCTTCCTCCCCACTCCCATTGCTCCCCGGGCCCTGTACAATAGCTGCCCACTGCTCCTAGTACTAGACTCATGGTACTAGGATGGGTTAAAAGCCGAGAACACATGTCACTGTGTGTGCTGTGTGCTCTGCATGTGTGACCATTAAAGAGGGTTTCATCCCTCCGATTCTATTCTAAAAGCCTTGAATCTTGAATCTAAAGAAGGGTATTAAAAAATACAATTCAATTATAAAATGATTATATTAATTTGGTCTAAAAAAGATTGGCATTGCCCTTGAAAAAACCATGTTACAAATAGTATATATAATTGTAAATTGCTTGAGATGTGAGAGTTAAATCTGCTGCTTTTATTTTGAAGGATATGAATTGTCTCATTTGCGGGTTTTTCGTGAACAAAGACGTGAACTTGCCGCGTGCCGCTGGACGCGTGCCGCTTCTCACCGGAAGTGAGGGTCCAGAAGCAGACTGACTGACATCTACATTCATCTTTATATTAGAAATATTGAGTTTCAAAGGGTGAGATAGATAAGGATTTAATAATAAAAGAAAACTAGAGAAATATTACTTTAAATATAAACATGGGCATTATTAGAAAAAAGTCCATTAACTTACCTCTTTCCGTTTTGGTCCACGCGATGAATTACAGCCTTTTACATTCATATAATAAACAACATCACATTTTTAAATTCACCAGTTGAGCGTAAATTCAATGTGAACATTTTACATAAAAATCACTCATTTAAAATACTCGATTAAATTCAATAGGATAAAAATATTTTGTGAAAATATTCCTAAATCAAAAAGTGACATTTTACGAAAACAAACTAGAATTTTGTTGATTAAAAATAGGGAATTCAAAGAAATATAACAAAATAAAATGGATAAAATAGCAAATGTCTAAGATTCAACATGTCCCATGATTATTAAGGTAATATTAATAATACTTTATATTTATATAGCGCTTTTCTACAACTCAAAGACGCTTTACAGTATGAGGGAGGGTAGACAAACAGAAAAGGCAGTCAAGAGGAAGTTGATTGAGAGAGGGGGGAGGGGGGCTTATGGGTAGCCAGAGGCCGTTTCTCAATCTCGAGGAAACTGGCTTCCAAGCCAATATTTCAAGGATGCTACGTCATCGAGTGCCGCCGAAGGACAGTTCCAATCTCCAGCATACCTAGAATTCCACCGAGGCCGTGTCCTTGGTTTGGGGGTAATTTCGAGTCTGCACATGGGTAGACTTTGCGTCCTTAAAATCCCCACAATCCTTTGCGCATGGACCAATTTCCCCAAATCTGTGGCGGAAAATGTAAGGCGGGGCCTCTCATATGACGCACACCTGCACACTTGCTAGCCTGTTCCACTCTTCGTTTTCCGAATGCCAGGAAGGATTCTTGACTAGCTTCTGAAGCAAGTGACTTGGAAGACATGTGCTACCAAGCAAGCATCCTCGCGATTGAGAAATGGCCACTGTTGAAGAGATGGGTTTTGAGGCGGGACTGAAAGACTGAGGGACTCAGAGGGTGTTTCTCAATGTCGAAGACGCTTCCTTGGTAGGACATGTCCCTCCGAGTCAGGTCTTTCAGAAGCGAGGCAAGAATCCTTCCTATCCTCGGAAAACGAAGAATGGCGGAACCGGCGAACAGGTGTGCAGGTGTGCGTCATATGCTAATGCGAGGCCCCGCCTTAAATGGAGCGCGATTTCCGTCAAAGATTTGGGAAATTTGTCCTTACGCAAAGCATTGTGGGGATTTTAAGACCGCGCAGAGGATACACATGTGCAGCCTCGAAATTTCCCGCAACGAAGGACGCCGGCCTCAGTAGAATTCCAAGCATCCAGGACATTGGAACAGTCCTTCGGCGGCACCAGAGTTGGGTGTAACGTGTTCCTTACTGTAATAATATTAATTTTGTCGGTAACGGAGTAGTGTAACGCGTTATAATTCAGTAATCACACTACAGTTACTAACATTGCCACGACACGCGTTACTTCGTTACTTTTATAAAAATAATCACACTCACTGACAGACAAGAGGGGTTTCCGCCGCCGCAGGTTTGTATACATGTAGGTCTACGTGATCTGCGCCATTTGCCCGTCCACATCTCCACGTGCAGTGCTGCATAAACAAGGCTGAGTCTTTTCATCTGTAAACTTCCTCAACGGGGCCGCTCGCTCTCTTTTCTTGA